CCCGGCAATTATTTTCCGATATTTTAATATGATATGCATTTAATACATTAAGTTAACGGTACTGTACACACGTATGTACACACGTATGTACTGTACATACGTACGTACGTACGTGTGTATATGAGTTGCGGAAAAGAAAACCTGTAATACTAAAAATAGATTATTCTAAATTCCATAATAACTATTTTTAGAATTACAGGTTTTCTCTTCCCGTCACTCTTTGATCTTAAATAATACGTATCAGTATGGGCGCATGGTTAAATAATTGCCAAACCGGTAAAACGAGAAAATGATTATTGGTAATAAATAATTATCGGGAAGATTTTTACCTATGAATAATTGTCGGGCAAGGTATAAATTTGTCGGGGAAGATTTTTACCTATGAATAATTGTCGGGCAAGGTATAAATTTGTCGAGAAAGTGAGTATAAGGATAAGTCGATTGTATGAGAGTTGTTAGGGTATTTAATTATAATTAATGGTATATATGTACATATTTGATCTAAAAGAAAATAATTGCCGAGAAATCAATATCGGGTATCGGGGGATTATTCCATGAAATAATTGATAGTAAAATGATACAGTAAGAGATAAATTTGTCGAGAAAAAGTTAGCATAAGGATAAGTTGGATGTATGTCGGATGAATTCGGATTGTTGTGATATTATTAAATTGGGATTTTCGGAATTGTTAATATCGATTTGATACCCGGAAATGCATTTTAAGTAATTTACTGTAATTTTCTGTAATTTTCATTGGCGTGGCACATTTTACCGTTCATAATATGTATGTTAAATGGGTAAGTTTTTTTAAAGAGTATATTTAATAAATAAACAAATAAATAAATAAAATTGATAATAATATATTACATTAATATATTGAATATAAATATACTTTTAAATATTATATTTCTAACAATGATTTAAAATAGCAATAATATACATGTAGATCTTATAAATTTTTATGATAGGTTCGGAATTATTGATTTTAAAAAGTGTGCTTTTATTTTTATCACCTTACAAAAATAGTTTTAAAAGAGAGCGATTCTCAAATATTGCAAATTAATATATTTGGTTAATTCAAAGGAAGTGAGTGATAAATGTGATGCATTCTATTCAATTGTGAAATGTGAAATGTTAGAGCACATTAATACAGCAATCACATTACAATATTCATTCTTAACACGCGTAAACACTTTTAACCTTGGTCACAACTGTCGTGAAACAAAAATACTTTGAAATAACAATACAATAATACTATTACTTTGTATTTATTACTTGTTCAAGTTAAATTAATTTTGTTATCGTTATTCAGATGAGTAAAAGAAAATTCTTGTTTACAATCTAGAATGTTGTGCGATAAACTTGTTTCATCTTTCATAATAATTTGTACTAATTTGTTTTATAAAAGACGCGAATTTAGTTAAATTCCAATCTATTTACGATAAATACTTTGCTGATAGCCAATCTAATGTACTTTTCAAAATACTTTTTCAAAGGCAATGGGTGGACATATTCGGCGTTCCGTTGTTTTTATTTATAAATTAAGTGAAGCTATACTTTTAATGGATAACAAAATAATTACTATTTTAAATTGAAAAGAATACTACAAGCATAAAATAGTGTAAGAATATTAGTCCCTGTTTTAAAGTTTTTAGGGCGTTCAACAATAATAAAAAAAATTTTAAAATATATTTATATTTATATTTATTTATGATAAGACAAAAGAAATTAGACTGCATTAATTAAAAATTAAAAATATCGATTATCTTTATTGTTACAAAAAAAAAAAATAAATAAAAAAAAGGTTGTCGCGATTTAGATGTGATAAACCATACATTTTATCGATTTATATTTAGTCTCGCGGATCAGTATCCCTTTTATTAATATATACAGTATGTAAATATGTACATTAGAACATAAAATAAAATAAAACAACAAGTTTGCAATTTAGTAGAACATATTTAATGTACTACAGTGATAAATATTCGATATATATATCCATAAATTCAGATACGTTATCATGCTTTCGCTTGTAGATCATATACACATGTAATTATAACTCGGACCTGGGACCCCGGCATAAAAAAAGTATTCACATACAAATTTGAAACTTTCATTTCCTTTAAACTGTGGCTGTGACGTAACTTTGGCTTGAGAATGGCGGAGTCAAAGTCCGCGATCACGTGACATGGCATTCAAATCACGATGAATTCTTCATATTGATAACTTTCATAAATTACATAAAAGGAAACTCATTTACTGTATTTTTATTTTAGAATCTTCAATATGTTGGTACTCCCAATTAATATTTTATTTATGTGAACTATATATAAAAAAAGACTAAGTTGAGTCGCAACAGTTATTATCAAAGTTGCTTCTCCAAATTGTGGATGTGTTTATTAAATTTTGCAGAGAATTCCTAAGATCAAAATCAAGAACTCAGAAATCCGATAGTTATAATCCCGAAAACTCAATTAAAATCCAAACAATTTAGTATTTCGACTGCTTGACTTAAATTCCAAAACCAATGTAGAATTTGAGTTGTCATGTCAAAGATATTGAATCACGATTGAAATTTGGGAGAAATAAACTAGGAAAATCAGCTCTTCAATACTTTTTGGTCGATTTTAAGATTTCTGACTCCAGTTAAACCTTGTTTCTTATTTATACACAATACAACTTTTATTCGATGTTAACTTTATAAAATATCGAAATATTTTAATTCGAATAAATCAGTTCTTCGAAGATATGCTGCTCTAAAAATAGAATATTATCAACTTAACTTTAAGTTTGCGTAACACAAACATTAAAAATATCCGTCGAAGATTGGTTTTCCTAGTCCATTTCCCCATTTCTGATTGTGAGTATCGGATTTTTGATAGATCAAGATTATGTTTGTCGGATTTTTAATAAATCAAGATCATGATTGTCGGACTTGATAAAGTTTGTGAATCCGTAAAGACAATATCGTTTTAAAGAGATCAGTTAAAGGAGGGGCAAATTGGTATTCCTGAATTATGTTTTCAGATTGTCTTGCAAAAATATTGAAGAAAATTGAGAATAATGTAAGTTTATTTAATCAAATTGCATTAATACTGCAGTGCAAATATTATAGCGCATTGCACATTGACTGATATATCCCCATTCCAGTATCTCCAGTATTTCCAGTCATTTCTTAAATTTATAGATTGCTGCGAATTATGCACATATGTATGTACTTGAAGATTTACTTTTTTTTCTTATTACATAGACCCTCAACAGTAAATATACGCCGGTATTTTGTAAGTTTTTATTTATATCTTGTAACATACCCTGAGACTTGAGGTATTGATTCCTTCGTTGTCACATGAGATCTTACATAACGTGCATTATTTCCTAATTTATTAGAGTCTGTTATTATGACATTTATGACACGCAGGATTTATTGCAAACAAACTGAAAAAAACGCGACACCAAACCTAAACAACAGAAAAACTTTACTAGAGTAACATGTATCCATTTAATCGTATGATAATTTATAATACCAACAGGTTTTTAAGGTTTGAAACAAATTTAGTAATCATAAATTTACTGTTTGAATGATATTTGATTAAATGCAGTATTCTTTAAGGAGAATATTTGATGTTTACTAATAACATGTTTTAACGTTTTACTTGGTTATTTTTGACTTGGGAGTACATGAAAAATCTTGTGGAATTTCTATGTTCCAGAAATTTCTATATGCAGTAGTATAAATTAATTGTAGATCATAAATAGAACAATTGAGTAGAATTCCATAAATCGAAAAGAATTGAATAGAATTCCACAATTGAAAGAATCGAAAGATTTTAACGCATGTAACTATATATACAAATTATTATCAGTGATGTAATGACCTTCGAATAACATAAATAGCAATAGAGCTCAAGGAATTTTTCTATAAAGATTTTTTTATAAAGATTTGAACGGTAAATATCAAGCCACAAACTGATATAGAAAAATATGGCACATAAATAAAGATATATATATATTATAATATATTAGGTACGAACGTAACAGTATTTAGGTTACAATGAGGTAGGTACGTATGTACATACGTACGCACGTAAGTTACAAAATAAATGGCATCATTATCATTACCTATACATAATTCTAGTTACAACAGTGATTAAAATTTATCATTTTCTAGGTAATGGAATGTTATAGAAAGATTTTTTATTATAACATCATTATATCCAAAGGTATGTGTAGGTATGTGTATAAATTTTTTTTAAAAAATTAACTTGACACTATCTCCATCCTTTCATTTTGATTGCGTAATCCATCATATCTAAGTGCATAATAAGATGCAAGTACCCCAGGTATTTTCATACTTCAATTTTGTAAACATTTCTGTAGGGGGTACACCCTATAGGGACAATATGTTTTAATATATCTACCTAGTATGATGCATAGTATGATGCATATAACAAATATAATATTTATGTATGTATATATGTACGTATGTACGTACCTGGGCATAAATCGCCGCCTAGTCCTTAAAACTGGCAGAAGGCACACGCCATGGGCGTTCGACTTTTACGGCAAATGTTTTCGTAAATTACAGTTTATGTGTCTAAATTTTTTAATAATCAAATTTTTATGTGGAATTTGAATATTTTAATTTTAAAGAATACGTACTATAATGTAACTCCGACTATGGTTATGACGTTAAAAGGATAGAGAATGACGACACGCGTTTCAAATTCCTACGTACTGTAGTGCAATCATTTTTTAATACGTGGCAAAAAAAAAAAAAAAAAAAAACTTAAAATATATGCTGCCTATATCATCATTGGTTTAAAAAATTTACATGAATATTATTGGTTTTAAAGAGCAGACCACTTAAACATTTATTTTAAGGAAAAAAAAATTTGACATTTTCTAAAAATTTACCCTAGTACTAGTCTGCATAAAGTATATTGAATCAAAGAGAATTGTATGTTAATATAATTTTGGCTAAAATTCGGCAGATTACTTTATCACAATAGTGTCAATTCAATTGTAGATCCGGAGCTGCACCAACCACCTCCGATACCTACGATCAAATATTTCACTTGAAGTTGCATTAACGCTGACAAATCAAAAAACATAGTTGAACTTAAATCTGATATAGAAAAGTGGGCAAGTCAGGTCAAGCCAGGTCTATGTTTTCTATCTTTTTAATCTTAAAAGTGTAATAACAGTACATTATCATGTCTAATGAAAATCAGGATACGTAATATCCCCTTAAATTTTACGCACATAAACTGATAGACAGGTCTAAAAGGATAAGTTAGAGGCAATGCACATTGTACGTAATAAATGTAATGTGTTTCACTGTATTTCACTGTACTTCACTGTATGTTTAGTTGGTTCAAAATTTTCTTGAGAACTCTGCATTAAACTTTCTTTGTTTTCACTAATTACTACATTATCAAATTGTATTATCCGGATATAAAGACCCGTACAATAGCATGATGTGTGAATTTGGCACTTTCCTTTTTTTACTGTAACCTTGTTTTTTTTGGAGGTTAGCATTTCTTTTAAGGGTACAATGCATCACCATTGTGTTGAAGACCATTATGTCAACACTTTATCTGTTTATATATATGTTTATATATATGTTTACATATATATTTACATATATATTTGTTTACATATATGTTTATATGTTGGATGGGAATTAACAAAGTGTTTTTTACGCATGCATCTTTACCATTGGACAAAAGATGATCCAAATTAAAAGAATTTGATAACCAAAAACTAAATTCGTAATATTACAGGATCATAATCATCAAATTTCACACCGCACACAAAAGTAATAGTGTATTCATTGTGTTGATTTGTCGATTTGGAGGTTAAGTTTAAAGGAAAATAAAGAGTTGTTTGTCATTTTAGAACAAATATGGAAGCATTAAGAAGTCGGCATTTATTGTTGTCTGAGAATGCAATTATATTTCCCCGCATTTTTACTTAAATTACGTAAAAAATTTGGATCAAGAAAACCAAGTTAATTATGTTCCCTAATTTATTTCTTGTGAAAAAATAGTTCGCCCTGAAAGAACTTAAAAAGAATTTAAAAAGCATTGTTACCATGTGAAAAATTTATCCGGAATCGGAAGTGATGATCCATTATTATGCTGAGACCATTGTTATAATATGCAGTGTAAGCAGTATGTACGAGTCAAATGATAAGGAGATAAAAAAGATTGTAGCAAAATCATCCACGTTTTTCAATAAATATCTAAGAATTCAACTTATAACTTATTACATTGACCGACATTGATTATAATGACAAAAATTTACATTGTTTTCAGAGGTCTGCATAAGTATGTAAGTACGCAACGTATGCAACGTATTAGCTATTATGTTTTATTTTTTACAAATTGCAGATTGTCTTTGGATATACGTTAATAATTAAAGAATTTTTTTTATTATAAAAAAAATTTTTTTTTTTTTTGACTACGGATAACATCATAACAATTGTACAGCGTTATCCCTTGTTGTTTATTTCCTAATTTAAACATACAGTATAAAGAAAAAGAACAATAGTAGTTTTTGATAATGATATTCGTGCTAATGTTTATTTTAATTGATGCAAAAAGGTTTTTTATTTGTGGAGAAATATCATCTTAGGCTCTAATTTTATATATTTTTGTTAGGAAATCGGGACATTTAGTGTCTAAAATTACCGAGAATTCATCTAGATAACAACACATTAACTATTCAAAAAAAAGTAAATCCGTTATCCCGGTCTTTTCATTATTTGTATTGGTCTTTGTAGTGGTCTTTGTATTGGCACTGCTGAGAATGTACAGGGTAACAATATGAAAAGGCTAAAGATATTGTCCTTTACTTAATTATTTTAATTATTATAATTAATTATTTTACTTTTTTATTTTTTAAATATTTAATTTCAATATACTGATATACTGATATACTGCTATATTTTATATTCATGACCCTTGGAATCCTGGGATTCGGTCGGTCTTGGAATTTTTAAGGTAACCAATCAATTTTTATTATCGCATCATTAGTTAAACTTTTTGTCTATCTTTCTAGGTGAAACATAAATTAGCATAATTTACAAAGTTTTAATCTATATTTTCTGTTGCATATCCTTTAGTGAAACATAAATATAATTATATAGCATATATATATATATATATACCTAACACATTAACACATTATTAGGTTAGTATTTTTATTTTTATTTTTAATTTTTCGCGGGATAAAAAAAATCAACGGAATAATTAACCTAGGTTTAAGTTTAGATGTATATTAATATTCGTTATGTTTGTGTAATAAACATTTTACTATTTAGGGTATCTTTATAGTATTTCAAATATTTATAATAATAAGAATTATACGTATAATTATTCCATTCAATGATTTACGCCTTTTCGTTCAATTTCCCGCTATTTCATTTTGATAAACCTGAAATGGATGTTTTAACAAAGATACTTGTGTAAATTTATACAATATTTTTTCAAACAATATATAAATATGCCCTTTTCAACTCGAACTTTTGAATATTCATCCAATGGTTCAAATTAATTATTATTGACTACACATATCATTCTATTTCAAAGTCATTCTTCCATTTACGAATATGAGCGAACCAAATTTCATTGACTTATATGACGATTCTTTAGATCGATTTATTAATAAGCTTGATATGAATCAGCTTTTTAATTTTAACATTGATATAAATGAATTGCTTATGCCAATTCCCAAAGACATAAAAAAGATTCCCAGACCTATGAATTCATTTTTATGTTGCAGGAGAAAGATCTATTTATTGGCTATCAAAAGGGGTTTGACTGATGAAATCGCTGATGGTAAATTTTTAACTCAGGTTACAACAAAAATTTGGAAACATGCCAGTCAACTTCAAAAAAATATTTTTGTAGAAATTGCAAAACATATTAAGTTGATTGAGAAAGAACGTTATGAAAATTGTAATGTTAAGAAGGTAACAAAAGAAGTTGCTAATGTTTTTGTGAATGTGAACATGGAAAATTTTGGACATAAAGATAGGATTCACAAAACAAACAAGAAAAAAGTTTCATCACGTGTTAAGAAAACACCTACAAATTCGATTAAAAAATCTATTTCTCAATTTGATCAAAATCTTACCAATTCGATTTCAAGCCCTTTAATCAATGGAACTGCCGATTTTTCATTATACGATGCTGACAATATCGCTATGAATTTTCCTATCAATACCGGTTTTATTCAAAATGGTTTTGGATGTATTTACCTTCCGTTTATATTAGGAAACTCCCTATTCGATCACACAATGAGTCTCGGAGAACAACCACATTGTGAAGTACCCAATGAATTATTAGAAACCAATAGAATGTTTTATAATATTTGAGATAGAAACCTGATTCTCTTTTCTTTTTTTTTTTTTACCACCTTCTATATCAGATAGAAGTTTCGTTTTTTTACTCGGCGGCTTATTCAATTCGATTTTTTCTTATATTATTATTACGAATTTGGTAATTTGGTAATTTTGGTATTATTATTATTATTATTTTTCCTTTCTTTCTTTTTTTTTTTTCTTTTTTATTTTTTTGTAAAAATATTCACAGAGATACTTTTGTTTATATTTGAAGCATATGCTTTTTCGAAAGAGCTACCATAAGATTTTTTTTCTGGAAAAATTTAAGATAAATTAAGATTTAAAAAAAATTCCGTTTTGTTACGACTTTTATCGATACGTATCGATAACTAAATATGTATAATACGAAATAAAAAACCCTTTTAAGTAAACAAATCACGTGTATAAGTGTACCAATATGCCGCAATATGTCATATACTAATTTTAGATTTCATTCCGAATGCCAATTAAAACAAGTATCGTCGCTATTTCACGTGATACAACTGATTGATTCTTAAAAAGAATTTTCGCCAATAGTTCTTTTTTTTTTTGTCAATTTTGTGTCAATTTTTAGATTTATCTAATGTAACAGAACTTCCAAAAATGTCACTCATCTATGAATTCGATTATTCTTTCTTACTGTATGTAACACACATTCAATTTAAAAGTATTTGGCCTCCGTGTTTGGCTAATTAATTGTGGCCGTGCCCGATAATGACCATACGTTTTACACATTTAAGTAATAATCCGAATATATGCATATATGTATATTCAATTGAATAATTACATGAACTAAAAAAAAAATTGGTCTATGCTCATTTACGTATTTGTCTGAACTGCGTATAATAGTAATACGAATATCATGATATTCTTGAAGGGATAACCCATTTTTTATCAATTAAAAATTAGCCCATCTGCCTTCTTTACAAATTTGAAGCTGAGAAATTCGTGGAATGTGAAAAAAAAAACTATAATTACACTTTAATGCTTTTACTTCAACTTGGATTACACCAAAGAGTAGTACATAATTGATAAGTTATTACTGTATATTGTACGTATATTTTAAATGAAATAAAATTTAGTCTGAAAATTATATACCCGAATATGCATTTAATTACTAAAGGAATTGTGATAAATTATAATATATAATCTAATATCACTTTCTATTGATTTTTGTTTCTATAATTATTCTTGATACAATTGAAAAAAATTTATCACATAATTATTTCTTACATTGTCACATATAATTATTACTTACATGATAAGCAGCATGTAATCTCTATTTGCTTAGTAATTTGAATTCTCAAATTTTATTCGTAAATTCAGCATTGACCCTAATGGACAAAGCGGTGTATGTAAAAGCATGTAGTTATTATTATTAAAGTTTATGTTTACATGTAAGAAAGCAACAATCTCGTCTTAATGTTGATATTGTAAGTCCTGCAGTAATTTTAGTAATTTTGGTTTGAATTTTGTTCTTTTAGAAATGTGGAGTTTCGATTTACCTATTAATAACAATCATAGTCATTCACTCTTGCCTAACTTATAACAGTGTCACTCATTGAAAAATTGTAACATTACATCATCTTTTCACAGATGTTTATGCAAATCTGAGTGACAAGTACCAGACTCTTGGCTTTCTCTATACATGTGACTACTAGAAGAAAGCCCGACTATATAAGATTTATAATAAACCATTATATATGCAAATTGGGGAAAGGATTTTTGAGAATCCGGGCCAGTGCGCTTTGCATTTCGTGAATCTTGATTTGGATGCATAAAAGCATTGGACCCCATGCATATATGAAAAAAGAATATACTTTTATAATTAATTAGATGCGTTGATAAGACACTATTTAGTAATGGGGAGACAAAATAGATAAGATTCCGATAAGAATGATAAGATAAAATACAGTGCTTTTGTATATTTTTACCCCTATATGTTTATATATATGTAAGGTGTCGCAGAAAAGCATAAGCATATGACAAATTTGAGCACATTCTTAGCGTGTACGTAAATGTAATTATATCGGTATCATCTTGGCTATGTACGTACGTACGTAAGGAATCCTTGTGAAACGAAGCTTTTACGTAATAAACTGTCACGTGATAAATGACTCATAGGTCTCAAAGTTGAAATAGTGTAACGTGTATGTTCGCGAACTTTTTCACAATCTGAATCAAAAAGGCAAAATAAATTGATGCAAAAAAACGCGAGATACAAATCTTCAATGACAATTATAATTATTATTGTGTGACCATAATCAAACAATTCATTAAGTTACAAACACATGGTCATACATATGGACAAATTTCAGGAACGTAGATCAACAAGAGAAACACAACTACTAAAATTTTTATTAAGCAAAAAAATAAAAAATTCTTTAATTGAACTTATTTGAATGAATCTATTTTAAAATGTTCTTACCACTATTGATTTGTAATGCAAGCCGGAATTAATGGTTTTGGATCAGCGGCTTGCATTACGGTGTATGCACGTGACTTAACATATATATAAATCTGACCAATCAAAAAATAAAATTTGTTTACATCGATCGACCCAAAAAAAGCAATATAAAAAAAGCATGAGAATATAATAATAATTTAATCCTTTTTTGAAAAAATTATGCATTAATAACAAATATTGAAAAGAAATTTTACCTACAGAACTTACCCTACCCCCAAACTTTAAACAACCTTAACCCTGGGTTTAATTCAATGCGCAGATCACGCGGATAGCATGGCTTAAGCATCTCCTTATGATCCACACACGAACAATGATGATTAATATTATAAGAAATGATTGCCAAGTAAAAAATACGTCATAATTAGTTATACGTTACAAAATTAAGCCCTATGATGATATTTTCAGACAATTACATAAATAAAAAGATATATACAAAAAGGAAAAGAAAGAGCTTTCATCGTCATTATCGTGAATTATAAGTTGTAGTGTTTGACTCAAATAGTTTACAATAATACTAAAACACTTTGTCATTTATTTAAATTTTTAAAAACACCAATGAAATAAAGTTTTCCTCCTATTTAAGACGCGTCACAAATCTGAATTAGTTGTTTTCAATTCCAATTTTAAAATTTTAAAAGATTTAAAGTTCAAAAATCTTTTATTCGAATCGGAATTGCTACGGCGGAAGTAACGTATTACACATTATTTATTAGTTGTTATAGAATACGGCAAAGGGATATCTAATATGATACTATATAACACACGTCACATCAATCTTAAAAAGGAAATCATCAAAGATAAATAACTCAAGTAGATAAATTGAGTTAGTAATACTTTACTTATAATAATAATAATCACTTTTCATACAAATTACTTAAAACCTTTGTTTAATGAGCAACCAATAAAAAGCGAAATGTGTGATTAATAAATGATTTATCGGCTAAATTCATATGTGGCACATCCTGTGACACTTATAGACATTTAAACATATAAAGATGCGTGGAGGTTGTTCTTTTTTTTTTTTGAAATACGAACTCGTTTACTTGAATCTTTTCAAAAAGATTATTACGGTAGAGGAGCAGAGCACTCACATTTTCGTGTCTACAAACTATAATGAATTTTGATTTGTTGTTAATGTTGTAGATCATTTTTATTTAATTAAAAATAACCAACCAACAACCTTCGCTTTCATTATAATATGAAGCATAGAAAAAGAAATCGAAAAAGAAATAATGAAGAGGATACAGATGTTCTTAGTAATAAATTTCCTCTAGGTTTATTACAAACTATCCTTTTTGTTATAATCGACTGGGATCAATTTTGGAACGAAGATCTCTCCACCTATAGTCCAAGATGGACTAAGAGAAACGGAGATATTAAACGTTACTCGAACCCCTACATCCTCATGAAGGCCATCTTCATCAGTAGGTTCAAGAGTAACTACGATATCAAAAAGTTACATAAAGTTTTAGAAAACCTGGAATCTTGGACTGAACTAACAATTTCACATGAGGATCTCCGATCGATCGCCAAAGGGCGTACGTTAGGCAACGATCAACTAAATTCTGATTGTTTAGATCGAGAAGAAACATTTCTAAAACTGACCCGAGAAAATCTAAAATGTTTAGATGTCAAAATCGATGGAACAGATTTCTCGGTTGTCAGTGGCCGCGCTTGGGCAATTGCCAGTCGATTCCAGCGTGGAAAATTCATAGACTTATTTGATCGCCTGAAAAAAACTTATATGGAAAAGTTCCCAGATAAAAAATATCATACCCATCAATCACGATGGGTTAATAGAGTAGCGTCAGATTATGATGCTCGTGTCGTCGCCTCTAGTGTTCCGCTCCCTGTCCCCTCTCCCGTCACCCCTATATGCCCGTCAATGGATATATCCGAAGAGATCCTCTTTCGAGGCGATCTAGGGGATGGTAATAATCTAATTTTACCAGAAAATGATAACGAAAGTATGTCAAATATGGGGCTCATATCATCACAAGGGTACGGCCCTGTTTGGCATACTCAAGTATCCGAGCTCCCAAAATTTAATGAACACTTCGTTGAGGAGGAATATTATCTTTTTCCTCCGTATATTAATGAATCTACGTATTTTATGTAATATTAAGAATTCATAAAATAATTCATTTTCGCTATTTAATGGTAATAAAGTTATTACCTTATAATATTCGTATTTTTATTCGGCAAGATTGGATAATATAGTAATTTCGTTTTTTGTTAAAACAAATATATCGGTTTATTTGTTTTTTTTTTCGATTAAAATTTTGGCAATTTAGGAAATAAAAAATTCTTCGGCTTAATCTTAGGAAATAAAAAAAAATTTATTTAAAATAAAACATTATGCATTAACGATAGTATTATTTGACTTGACAATATTTAAAGGAAATATTAAAATAAAAGTTCGCGAAATTAATTTTAATTTTATGTAATCACAAGAAAATTTTATATTCTCACATAAGTAGAGTTCCAATCCGGATATCAATAGTAAATAGTAAATGGATATCCCAAATAAATTTAGACCCGATAAATGCTTAATGTATGTTAAAAGCATAGTAAAAAAGCGGGCAAACTTTTTAAAAATATAGTAGATTTTATTTTTCAGACCCGTGAAAGCCCTAATCACATGACATCAATATTGGCCATAGGTCATATCCAATGTTATATGGCCATAACGTAATAATAAAATTTGTAAACCATAATAGGTCGTAAGGTCATAACTTAGTCAGTAGGTCATAACAGATCATAAGCCAACATTAATCACGGCATTACCACGCGATGCATGTAAAGTAGATTATAAACTGGTGTTTATTTTATTAATTATTGACTATATTTTAAAATTAACGCGTATATTACAAATTTAACTTTTACTATTAGTGATAAAAAACTAGTTTATATTAAGTTATTCATGCTTTTAAATTCGTCGAAACCATAGTCGTTATTCGATCTGCAATGATAACACGAATGACGTAATCAGTCGCAATTGCACGAAGTAGCATGAATGATTGTTACATCTTTTCATTTTTTTTTAAATACTTGGCTTTAAAAGATTCAAATAGTATTGAAATGAAAGATGGAATTACAAAAACAATTTAACACACATTAAAATACAAGGATAATTATAATTATTATATGCACAGATAATAGTTTACGAGACAACCACGTGACTGCTGTGAGTAAACGTAATACGCATTGATAGTAATCTCATGATTATGTAATGCATTTCCCGAGTATATTATAGTGTAAACGAATCGCGAGATACAAAAGATTTTTTTTTCTCAATTTTTATAAAAAAAAAATTTTTAAACCTAGTCCCAAATCCTAAATACGTATCTGATATGAACTATAAAAATGTTTTATAATCGGAGTAATTTGTTGAAATTTGATTGGTAACTAAAAAAGGTATAACTTTTGGTATTTAATTATTATTTGTTATGAATCGTTGTACAACTAATACTGATTGAGTATAATTAATTCATTTTAAGAAGAGAACATTAGAAGAATTCAAAAGTGGTATAATTAAATGTTAAAGAGTTCCTTTTAGAATTGTTACTATACAAACATTGGAAGATAATTTGTACTCAAAAGGAAAGGTTACAGAACACGTGAAATTCTGAAAGAAATTGTTTGTTTTTTCATTTGTTACAAAAGACCGAGAAAGACCCTTGCTGTACATACGTACAGCGTACTACGTAATATTCACATGGATATAAAATTTCCTTTTCAATATAAGTTATTTGACAATCATATCCAAAATTATGACTTTTTTTTTTTTTTTTTTTTATGCACATTATATGAACTTGATTCAAATAGAAATCTTTTTTTGATGTCAAATTTTTGTAAAATGCGATGTGCTTATTTAATAATAATAGCATCTTCCGCATAACATGGAATACACGTATAAAAAAAAAGAGAATTGATTGGATCATGACATAGAAAATCCTATATTATTATGTTTACTAAATTTCTTTGTGTTAGAATTTGAAATGTATTAGCCATCTATCGGTTTGTTTCTAAAAGAAACCTATTATAATTATTATTCTTTTTATTATATGCATCATTTCTAATTATGATATTAAGAGTAAAGATTATCTGAGAATGCAATATTTGCACGAGGTGCAATCATTAACTAGAGTAAATCAAATCCTTAAAAACAATAAAAATAACTAAATAATAAAAATTATATTACTATATGTCTATATTATCTTTATATTAGCGTTACAATCAAAAAGTTTCTGTATATGAAGGTGCATTTAATTAATAATATGTATGTAAAAATAAATACAAAAAAATATACGTACATACACACGTACAATACATGTATACCTTCGGCATTGTTTCTTATTGTAAAAAAAAAAATTTTCAATAAACTATTAAATAGATGTCATTTGTTTCTGTCAACATCCAATCGGCTGGTGAGCTAAGCTTTTATATAATTCGTATCGCAACGGAAAAATTGCTAAAAGTACGTGTACCCTGGTACAGTGATCTCGGATGTATTATTTTGAAGACTTACTGTGCGTGACAAAAATAATTTTGCCTTTACATATTGCTTGTATTAATGTTGAAACAATTTGTAATACATTCTTTAATAAATATATATATCGATGAATAAATTTATTCTATAAAATATCTTTTTATTTTTCTTTCTTTATTATTCAAAAAAAAAAATTAAATAAATAAAAATAAATTAAATAAACCAAATAAATTAAATAAAAATTAATAATTTGTCTGGTATATGAAAATAATAGAAATACCTTAAAAATTTTTTTAATGTTCTTTTTTTATTGACGTATTTTAATACAGTATCTTGAATATTATTAGGGTAAGCTTAAATAAATTTTTGTAACACATTAAAGCTCGTTTCAGAATGGATTAGCTAATACGCGTGTATATCTTTCTATTTAAAAATAGGTTTAGTTTTTTCATGTGATTTCTCTGATTCATCAAATTTAGGATACTGTAACGATATAATTTTTTTAAGATAGAGATAGTTAAGATAGTAAAAGTATGGACACAAGAAAACACTGACACCCCATTGTTAAAATAATCAAGTTAAAATGGCCAAGATCAACCGATTAAAATTTTCCACGCCCTAAACATTTCATCATATCTTGTAACCTATACTATGTAAAGTTAGTATTTGGCATGCCCCGGGAAGTGGTGATTGTTTACACACGCTCACACAAAAAAAAAAAACAGATTTTTCAAGAGTTAACCATTGTAACCATAATTTTAAAGCATTCAAATGATCGATTTCACACGGAAAAACCCCAAGAAATGTTGAAAGTTTAATCTTTTTCTTTTAAATTAATTATTATCAAAAATATTAAAAAAAATACATAAATAAATAAATAATAACAAAAAAAAATTACCTAATCTGCAAGCAAATCATTAAAACTTTATCAACCCTCAACCTTGTTTTCATATGACAGATAAATGACAAAAATTCACAAACTTCAACAACGATCCGCTATATTTATCCGTGTACGATAAACCACTTCCACCTGAAAGAAATGCATGCTATTGATTCTCTTTTCAGCACGATTTTTACTCCATATGTGAATATTTGCTTGTGGCATTTGCATGTATTCACCTGCCTTATATATATGCTATATGCTTATGTATGCTTATATATGCTTATTAATCATTATTACGTATTAATCTTCATGAAATCATAAAATCATCAAATCAACCACGTTTTGCCACCACTAACTATCGAGTATTAAAGTGGTATATGACCTTGCTATTATCAATTTATCAATTAATAGTCAATCAAAAAGTCAATCAGTGTTGAAATTAATAATGTCTAATACTTAAAACGTTAGATTTTCGAAAAAATTTTTTTTAAAAAAAAACTAACACGTATTTGAATACCAATAAGGATCAACGTATTCTTAACAAAAGTCCACTTCGGGAAAAAACAAAATTGATAACGTTGAAGAAAAAAAATTCATGTTCGTAACGCATCTGTAAATCCTCTCTAAATGCGCCTTCTTACCATATCTTTAAAGGCGCATTTACAGTAGAAAAAATACTATAATTATTGACTATTTACTGTCAGTTACAAACATCAAAAATAAAAAAGCCATGTTTCTATAATAAAGATTAAATTAAAAAAAAAATGATTTAATATATAATTTAATAAAATTAGTCAAAAAATGAATATTTATTAGAAAAAGAAAGTTTTTACAATGAAAAATAAAAACTGTTTACTCACAAATTTCAAAATCATAGAATATTTTGATAACAATCGCAGAAGTTTGCATATATGTGTACGCATCACAATGACGATTGTGTGGTACATACGCATATTTCAAACAATAGAGATATGTATGCTCATCCTATTTAAATCAAATATATAGTAATGAATTACGAATATATCACTTGTCAGATGATAATTTCACACGAATACATTACTATAATGATAAATAATGCATTCAGATGATCATTTGATTTTCGAATGGATTTCGAAAGAATTAAATTCTCAAAAAAAAAAAAAATTAAAAAAATTCCCTCGGATAAATATATAAAAAAAAATTTTTTTTTATTAATTTAATGCTAAAATCTGTTATCTGTATAAAGCGAAACAATTTTAACTGTATTTAACTGTATTCTAATACATTTTTTTTTTACTACTTTAATTATTATTACAATATTATGGTTTCTTTTTTTTTTTTTTTTTTTTAGTGAAAAGTGAACGATAAAAAAACGAAAACGAAGCGGAACAGCTAGCGGAACCTTTTTGGTTAATAGGGGTGTTTTACGAATTGAAATTTTATCATATTAGGGAAGGATTTTTAAAATACTTTTTTTCATATTATAATTTTTTAGGGAATAATTAATAATTGTAATGTATTCATAGATTGGAAGGAAGGTACCATTATTTAGGGAGGAATATTTCGGCGATATATAAATTATTTAGAAAGCTATATATAAAAAATTTTTTTGGTGTAGTTCATAATCTCTATATAAGAAAGGTTGTGTATATAAAAAGGGTTTTGATGTAAAAAAAATTTTTTTTTTTTTAAATTAATAAATAAAGTCATTATATTTTTTTAAGATCCTTGATTATGCTTATCAATTTGTTTGTTGGTTTGAAAGTCAAATTTGTTGGCTTGAGTCAAATTGTCGGTTGGACAATTAACTGCAATAGTGGGAAGTGACATATTTTGATAATGTCGTTCGAGAAAATGAGCGTCGGTAGGATAGGTGTAAAAAGATTGAGGAAGCGACAACCTGGGAATACTAGGAACGATATAATTTTGTGTGTCAACCTGAGTGACAGATGGAGAGCTAGGAATTATATCTTGACCGCTAATTTGTGTAATTGGTGGAGAGCTGGAAATAATTGTGTTTCGTGGACTAACTTGAGGAACGACAACCGTTGACGAGCTGGGAACGATACCTTCATGAGAACCTGACGGCGAATTGGAGACGATAAAAGAGCTAACTTGAGACACAGGTGATAAACAAGGTGAAAAATTCTCTGGTGAGCTAAGCTGAGAAATAAAGTCTAAATTGTCGTTGTATGTTGAAAATGATGTATCCTGAGGGCTAGGAATTGCTTGATAGGAAATATTCATGGACATTCCCGGTAAATTTGTTGTCATCCGCCCATTTGATACATTTGATAACCAAGATGAAGAAGACACAGTAGGCGAGGCTATTTTTTTATTATTTCGAGATTCCGTTAAGAAATATTCTGCTTTATAATCATCAGAGTTAACAACAACAAATTCTTTGGTATCAGCTACTTGAGGTTTTTTACGATAATCATATGTCGGATAAAAACGAGAATGGATTTTCCTAAATTCCTTTTGTAAGCTCAAATAAATTCCCCATTCATCTTTAGATGCACCCCAGCGCATAAGTTGACAAATTCTGATACATGACCTTCCATCACCTAAATCAACGTTCAGAGAATCGGCCACTTTTCTCACTACAAGTGTTAAAATCATAAAAGAATTCATAGGACGGGGGTCCCCCTTTGACCTTCGCTTATTTTGGTGCGGATAAATCTTTCTCGCATCTTGACATGGATTAAAAATTTCCGTTCTTGGTAGTCTATATATTATTTCAATTAGCGAAAAATGCTCGTCATTAGGTGGGTCTCCATTTTTATTTTTGGCCAACTTTTCTCTCCACTGAGCTTTGTACATTATGTTAAATGAAGGGCAAAGACAATTAAGGCGGTCGACTTTGATAGCTCAAACTGAAAAAAAAAGGAAAGAAAATTTTTGGGTTGAAATAATGTTACCTTTTTATAAGTTTTTTATTCGTGCGCAGCCTGTGATATAATAAGGTTGTACGACATTCTCATATCGAATTTAATTCATAATTTTTTTTTTTTTGTTATCTAGTATAGCAATTTATTATGAATGAAAATTTGTACGTACGTACGTACGTTAATCAATGGGATTTAATAATAAAAAATCACATATCTCTATTACAGTATTACACTATTTATCATTATTGTAAAATTTTATTCCGAATTTATTTTGTGATATTATCGTTATTATGTGATTGGTAAAGATATACATACATATATACGTTGTTCATCGGAGTTATTCTAACTATATGCGATAATTTCAACAAATAAATAAATACAAAATCTTTTATTAGTATATTTAATTATACAATTAAAATTTTTATGCATAATAAAATTATACACATTTTTATGTAACTACAATTTAGCCTACATATTTTTTGTAGTTGTGAGACCAGTCAATCAACCATGCTGCCTCGGTATAATTCGTCATAATTCACCAATAAGTCAAATTAACTTGGTTCACAAAATTTATTCAAAATCGTTCATGATCCGAACATTAACAATATTTTGTTTTTCAACGAAAAAAAAAAAAAAAAAAGTAAAAAAAATAAAAAAACTTACGCAACAATGAATTGCTAAATTGTGCCATGAGACACGAATACAAATAAGGAAACGTCAATTATGCTTTTGTTATTTCTGTTATCGTTCGCTTGAAACAATGAGTCATTCAAGATTCCTTTTTTTAATTCTGCATAAACCTAGTGCTCATACTTATACAACACTTATACAACACTTATACAATACTTATACAAGTTGCTTTAAAGGTTAAGTTTATGTATCTCACAGATTTAATTATCGACAATTTTGAAACAAAAAATTCCAAGATACTTTTGAATATTATAGTATATGCAGTCTCTTATAGTCTCTTATAGTCTCTTATAGTCTCTTATTAAGATTTGTTTACGGAGTCATAATATCATTCTACCCCTTATATCAGTTCTTAAAAAATATGGCGTTATAAAAATTCAATTTGCATCTTCTTTTAAGATACTTTTGGGAGTAAGGCGTTGTTTATCATCATGAATCTACCAAATTTACTACTAAATTCATCTTCAATGTTGTGCAAGTATAATGTTATTCGCATTCGTATACCTCATTTATATTAATCCATATAAGTTCCATATAAGTCCGGTCGAAGGTTCATGTCATTGGGAAGTGGTTATTTTTTTCCGATACTGAATAGGGATCTACTAAGATCCTACTTTGACATCTCATTATAAGTACGTAAATATCTCTTTTCTTTATGTTGAAATCACCGATATTTTTTTTTGATAATGTATCATTTAATTTGATCTCTCGTCATTCCAATAATCCGTCACTCGGGCTATTCAAACTTGGTTTAGATTGTAAATTGTATGTTCTAATTAAGAAGCATATTAGGCCAAATTATTCTCCTTATTATCTAATTTAGTGACATAACTCAGTACAAAGTGAACACAGTATTACTAAGATGGGAAAAGCCGAAAGTTTCTTTGTAGAATGTAAGAATTCTTGTAAAGAAAACCAATGTTTGATTAGGTTTGATTAGCAATCCACATAAAATTTATTCATTAAATTATTAGGCAAAACCTGACTTCAACTTACTTAGAGTAACCTAATTATGCTTTTAAATTCGGCGTCCTCTATTGTTGTATTATAATTAAAAACTTCATCATGATTTAGTTCTTGAATTTTACATTGTTGAAAATTAAACTGTTTAAGCTATAATAATCTTGTAATCTTTTCTCAATTTTAATATATATATATTTAATGTCATTATCAATTTCATCGGACAATATTCGCGTGCATGTACTCGAAATTATATTTCCTGACATGTATAGATTAAAACAACTTATGGATTTTTATAGATGCTCGATAAGCATTGAAGATAAATTTGGAAATCATCAATATAACAATAAAAGTGTCATTCTTGATAGGCCGAATATAAATGGAAACGTATGATTTTTTTTTTTATAACTAATTTTATAATTTTATTTAAATTTATTTAAATTTATTAATTTTTATTTAATTTTATTAATTTTTATTTAATTTTATTAATTTTATTTAATTTTATTAATTTTTTTTTTTTTTTTTTTTTTTTTTTTTTTTTGATAATCTAGATGAACCCAGACCCATCTGATCTGAAAGAAAAAAAAATAACCGATGACCGTATAAATTAAATTGCATACATATATTTTAAGTTATTTGTTTATTGTAAGGGATTTTGCTTTCCCCGAAAAATCGGCATATATGAACAGATCGCATGCATCCCGCGAAAAAATCTTTGATCAAGTGTAAACGTCACATAAGTTATTTATCATATAGTACCATGAAAATACTTAATAATTCAACTAATTTGTTTACTTGAGACATATAACCCATGTGAAATTTAAGTGGTGTGCTAATCTACATTTGATCTTTTCCATTATCGTTGTGTGGTGAGTTTTGTATATCAATGCGCATTACTATTCATGGCATTACCGAAGCATGATTCTCAAAACACTTCTCTTAATCAATATCATGATCACCAAGATAAATTAAATTTAGTATCATATCCCGAATATCGGATATTCAATTCGGTGAGTCTTGAATTAATATGGAGGTACTCCTAATATTAAGATCTTCCAGGGTATGAAAACCAGATAATATTAAATAAGAATAAATTAGGTAAACATTGTGTAAACGAATCTATTTTATAAAATTTTAAAGCTTACATTTAAAGTTATTACCTTACATGATCATGTTTCTGCAAGATAGTGTTTGGAATAAGTCCGGATTTAAAAACTCCGAATTAAAACTCACCCAATGATAATTTATAAAACATAATAATTTATCTTGATAATTATTCATTATGTTTTAGAGTATAATTTGAGTATCGTTTGTCTAATATAAATTTTCTCTTTCTATGCTATATTGAATAATCCTTTTTTCTTTTTCCTCAATTTTACTCAATTTATAAATTCAATTTCAAAACTTGCTAATTTTATAATAAACCTTTATTATCTATTTTTAAATATAACTTCGGAGCTTTTTTACTCAATTTATAAACTACAAAAAATTTGCTAATTTTATTAATAAAATCTTTATCTATTTTCATTATAAATTCAGAGACAAATAACTAATTTTAATTATAACAAATTTGTAAATGGACCCAATTTCAATATAACCTCTATTTATGTATATATTGTTCGGATCCTGGAGGTAATCAATCAATCGTCCGAAATAATTAAATTTCGGATTATCCGGTCGTTCAGATCAACCAGTTCCTTTGATGCAAATTTGTTATTCCTATACCTTAAGTATTTAACCATATTGTTGATGTCTTCGCATGACATCTTCAAGTGTGAAACGCTCTTCGATCGTTTGTTACACGAATTCATAAAATTTCTTCGCTCGAACTTTTCGGAAAAACTTGATAAAGATATCCTAATTTTAGATGTACCACTTGCACCTAAAATCAGACATAATTTATAATTATAATTATAATTATCCTTTGCGAATCGACCACATATGGATGCCACTCACTCAGATCCTCTTTTGTTTTACTAATATGGAATAAACGTATCCGTGATTTGTTCTACGCATAATTATATTACTATATTTTTTTTTATTATAATTTTTTATTATTATTAATAATATGAATATTTATTCATATACTGTATAAACTAACTATGTCCGTTTTCACTCAATCATTTTTGTATTACACGGTAAAATTAATAACCTTAAAACAGTAATTTATTATTTGGAAAAATATTGGAAACTAATTACTAATAGTATTAATGATTGGATTATATGATTCAAGAAGCAATCTTTTATTCGAAATTTAGTTTTTTTTTTTTACTAATTTTAATATACTTTTCCACTCTCGTTAATCATAATATTATAAAACCTGTAATCTTGGGGTTGCTTCGGTATAATATAAAGTGATCTACGATGATCATAGGCTTTATCTTTATAGTGAATGTGATTATAAGAGATTAAGCTTTTTGAAATTCTAATAATAGTAAAAAATGATGATGCGAAAATGATTTATTGTATGATGTGCTTATATGAAAGTGACTATACACAGATAGTCTGCTTTCATATAACATTTTAAAAATAACGATAAAGATATATGATCATAGCATTAAGAAAAACTATTGCAAAAAATATGTATAACGCAGATACGTAATTGTAAACGAATTAGAATCGGTCAAAAAGAACCCTAATCGGATAACCAGGCAAAATTAATTCGGAGATGACACTTATAAAGATAATTTACTATAAGCCATTCTGTTCAGTTAGGTTACGTTCGTCGTAAATGAGTTTATGGGCAATTAAGTAACGGTTCAACAGATGGTTCAATCCTCCGAAAATATCGGTTAAGCTTATCAATGTATAATCAAGCATTCGAACACGTGACATTCGACAAAGTTCCCACTGATATTTTCGGGATCGAACTTAGTTGTTAACAATAGTAATAACATAGTAAAATTGCTTGAGGAACTTTTTTAAAGCATAAAATCGGGGGTTTTTTTTTTGAAAACAGTGATCAGCGTTTTTGAGAACAGGCGATCATTACGTCATGTTATTAAGACTTAACCTTAAAGGAAAACATGAAAGAACTTCATCTTCACTAATTTAAACGACCGGTACCAATAAACTGTTTGTAAATTGACCACTATCTAATGTTATTAACAATCGAGCACTTAAAAAATGCGCTAATTGAATTTACATTTTACATTTCGATTTAACCCAAATAAATCGGGTATTCGACATAGAGTATCGGTATACTATATTACTTGAGGATTGCCATACCCAGATTTATAACGTACCTTACAGTTACTTTGTTAATAGTTCGGTCTGGTTCGGTCTGGTCTGGTCTATTATGGTCTCCAGTTTTAAGACTTTGTCCAGACTGGTCTAGACTGGTCCAGTCTTAAACTAACTGTGGTCTGTCGGTCTAAGACCAGGCCGGACCACATAACGTCTCTACTTTGAAGTACCATAAAAAAGTACTACAAATTTCTTAATATTTAAAGTGCAGATAAAAATCTACAGTGCCAATAAAGATACTTCACAGTAATTTTAATAACAATACCATGAATGTTGTACAACGTACTGTAAGTATAGTATGCGTTCGTTCACAAAATCTTGATTCTGATTGGATTGGATGTAGAAATCGAATGATTTCATGACACAACACTTGTTAACTTATTACATACCATAATGTTCTTGATAGCGGCATGTAGTGAAAGATCATACCTAAATGTCATGATAAATTCAAGTTTGGATCTTGGTATGCTTTATTGATAAGATACCTATACTGTGCAATCATCGACAGTTTTAAACTTTCGGTAACCTTTATATCTAGAGTGACTTTTGATAATCATTTGACTTCACTATATAAAAATATGTTGATAACTGTTAACCACGGGTCATTCGTTTATTATTAAAATAGACTTAAATTTAGTCATTAGACAAAAAACACAACCGAAAAGCATAGGTACGATTGGTCATGTGATTGGAAGTATGCTGGCTAGCTAGTCAAAGGTCCGGAAATAGATTCAATTAAAGGACAATTTCGCAGAATATATTGTGAGTAATTTTGAATTGAGTAATTAGAACTGAAACGATGATATACTCCTGAGAAAATTAGCAGTGAGATTGCACCAGTTATCATCGTGATAGTAGAACGAGCATGGCAGAATCAGGATACTACCCTATGACGGATGTGATGGTAGGAGTTGTAAGAATAAAGAGTATTGTAAGTGACTTGTTCGTCGATCCTTCAAATACTGATGACTTTTCGTCACATTTCTTCATTTGCATAGAATGCTTGCGGCCTGATGTATCTTTTGATCTCCGACCTATGCTATCAGGGCAGTGGGTGGTGACCATTCTCGATCAATTGACTTTTTCAACAAGAACGAATTTTCATATTAAATAAATATGCTTATACAATCCAAAAATAGATGCAATTTATCATTAGATGGTTCTTTAAAAAAATTTGTTCAAGGTTTTGAACTTGAGTATATTTGTTATCATAGCATCGGAGTCAAAAGTTATGATCACAAAACATTTGTTTACAGTATGTGCGTTAATGGATCATGTTTATTGTTATCAAGATGAAATCCGAGTTGAAAAAGATAGGCATAAGTCTTCGAAATTTATCAAAAATCTGTCAACATGAGTCATGCTGAAGAAGTATGTTAGTTAATTATTGTCATGAACATGGATCGAGTCATAAGATAAACACAAGATATTCATTTATTTATCAGAAACTACAGAAATAGTTATTCTGAAGAAATATATAATGTTGTGATTGCTATCAAAATTGAGGTCAAAAAAAAATAATAATAAATGCGAATACTACTGGTGCCGTTGAACTGCTATGACAACAACAGAATTAAGCATTAAAAAAAAAAAATCACAAGATTCGAATATTTAAAAAAAGATCTGCTGACCTGGAACATATTGCTAAAATAAATATGGTTAGATTCTATTATCAAGATAGAATCAGGACAAACATAAAGCATTCACTATCATCCAAAATCTGTTAACGTGAATAATTTCGTTAGAACAATCCGTGAACAAAAAATAGTATCGTTAGTGGTGTCCCATCTTCTCTTGTATAACTTTAGTGCGGCTGCGACCTTATAATAATTTAAAGTATCCAATATATATAATATCGATATTAAAATCGTTTGTGGTTACAGGCCGTTTGACACATGGATAGGCCGTTTGACGCATGGATGTAATGAATCGTGTACGTGACAAATAAGTATTTATATTATTAGTTAATGCTTATTCATCACGCCCATGGTGTCAAATGGAAGGAGTCATCTATAAGAAACCTATAATCTATACATAATCACACCTATAAATTCAGACTGCGACAGGTTACAAGACTATTATATCCCGAAGTTCCAATGAGCATGTTAATTATCTTTGAATATGAGTGTCGCCAAGAGAAGCCTGCAAATCTTATGAGCGGCACCCATATGATAAAACAGAACCTACAGAGATTGGCTCCGGAGTTTAAACATGAGTGGAAGGATGGTGAGTTAACAGTATTAAACGATCCAAATTTGAATGAATGAATATCAGATTAGCGTTAGAAGTTAATTGTCGAAAGATTTATTAATAATGGAAAAGTTATTTATAATCATATATTATTTATTTTAGTTGTTACAGTACTAAATATAAAACATTACAAGCACTTTACAGTACTATTATTAGATTTTTATCACTTTATAATACCATCTGATGTTTGGGACTATTCTATACTCTAAATAAGCAGCTATAGCCGGTTAACTTTTGACCCGAAAGGTTATAACCTTCATAGCTGTTTTCATAAATTCTTGAACAACTAAAAAATATTGCCGATGACCGAATCGATAAGTTTCTGGGTTCGGCCTACTCGGTAACTTATCGATTCGGTCTATACCCTAGTAAGAGGATAATGGTTATATTCGGATATAACCTTTGATCACCTGGACTTTTAATTTATTTATTAAATTATAAAAACTAGATATAACTTATACAAAGCATTTTGTCTTTCGCATTTACATTATTTTTATATAACCACATTATGAATAACGATACTGTAGAATCTAATTCAGGACATTTGCTTAGGCTCATAGGGGGAATTTCAATCGCACTGTAATTAGTGGTTCTCTCTTGTTTCACCGACAATTATTTCACCGACAATTATTTCACCGACAATTATTTCACCGACAATTATTTCACCGACAATTATTTCACCGACAATTATT